CTTTTGTTTCCACAGAGAATAGAAAGCTATGGATTCCTTACTGGCTAATATGGTTTGATCAAACAAGAGCCCCTGAAGCAATGGCCCAGCTAGTCCAACACCCATGACAGTTTCGGGATTGCTGGCTGAGATGGATCTACCACACAGGATACCCCATGAAAGGCCTGATTAACAGCACCCCCAATCAACAGGAAGTAGTCTAGAGAACAACACCCAAATTCTCTAAATGATTGTTTATAAATGTTTGTTTACACGTAAAGAGGATATGCTATAGAGACAAAAACTTTGCATTGGTATGGATCTTGGTTTATTGATATAAACTTAAGGTCAATTTTATTATATGTATTTCTACTCTTGTTTAAGGTTTTGTGTTTGTGCAGCTCACTTAAAAATGTAATTTATAATTAAGAAATACAAATAAATAGATAGTCATTTATAATAGTCAAACATGTAGTCAAGTTAGGTCTTCTAGATGATATATTTCAGATGGATAGGTATTCTTCAAATCTTTCAAAGATATACAGAACATGGCATTTAAAAAGTTTTAAGAACTTAGGACTTTTCATGACAATGAGGCACATATACTCCTGGCAGCACCAAACTTCTTCAAGAGAATAATGGACATCAAAGAGGCTCCTTTGTGGATTTTGTTAGTCATTCGGGCAAGAAACTGCTCGTGTCTGGACTGCTTGATGGTATGACGTATGAACTGGACATGCAAGACCTACAGAAAAATGACTGCTGAACTTGTCTAAAGGTGAGACAATCCTGGATTCTTGCTTCATGAGTCTGCCAGACATTGTCAGACACAGAAGAAAGCAACTGATGAACTTTGCCAGTAAAAGGCATACAGATCTTCAAATTTCCTGCTTCATGGAAAAGTCTGCCAGATATTTTGGACCTATATACTGAAAATGGATGCTCCAACATAACAGAAGAACTTTGGGTGACTGTTCAGGCAGTGAGGTGTCTCTGTCAATTCTAGAGTTTTAGAAGTTGCTTACAATGTTCTTCCTATTTACTTGGTAATATATATGTCTGGAGTCTTTGATGGAGTTGAAAAATAGATACTATTATAGTTTTCCTTAGTTTTGATAAAATATAAAGTAGATATAAATATTGTAACTATAATTATTGATACCTGTTTTGTTATATGTAACTTTACTATGCTTAATTTAAACCCTTTCTTTCTAATTAGACAGAAAAGAGGAGATGATGTGGGATTCCCCTCCGTATGCTGTGAATGTTTTATTACCATTTGTTAATAAAGAAGCTGCTTCAGCCTATAACAGGGCAGAATATAGTCAGGCTGGAAGAGATAAAGAGAGAGAGAGAGAGAGAGAGTAGACAGTGTCAAACAGACACCATGTAGTTGCTGAAGGAGACAGATGCTGAAATTTTACCCAGTAAACCACAGCCTTCTGGTGATACACAAATTAATAGAAATGGGTTAATTTAAGATGTAAGAGTTAGTTAATAAGAAGCCTAAGCTAACAGGCTTCTAATTAATATAGTTTCTAATTAATAGTGTTCTAATTAATATAATTTTTGTATGATTGTTTCAGGTCTGGGCAGCCAGGAAATGAATGAGCAGTCTCCGCCTATACTGATTGATGCTTCCCCAGTCATTTCTGCTGGATGATGTGTCTGACTTGACATTTTTGCTATTTTGTTCCTTTACTTCTACTTGCTAAGGACTTAATTAAACTATTCACTCAAAACTTAAAGGTTACTGTGGATTATTCTCTAAGTGGAATGCCAAAGATGAGTCAATGTAGCAAAGACCTAAAACTTCCTGTCAATGGATGGTGAGCAGCTGATGTTACTAACAACCACACAACTGGGTTGTTTCGGAAGTCGTTGATGAGCCTTATTTATGCTTTCAGATGACTATACTTGTCTTGACTGACATCTTCATTGGAAAACTCATGAGATCCTCCTAAGCATTAGCCAGATTTCCAATTCACAAAAACTCAAACAACACTGTTGTTTTTATAAGCTATTAAAATATAGGATTTACCAGGTGGTGGTGGCACATGCCTTTAATCTCAAAACTTGGGAGGCAGATGCATGAGAAACTGTGAGTTTGAGGCCAGCCTGAACTACAGAGCAAGTTCCAGGACAGCCAGGGTTACACAGAGAAAATGCTATCTCAAAAAGAAAAGAAAAATAAAGGAAAGGAAAAGAAAAGTAAAAGATTTAGGAGGTGATTGCAGATGCATAGAACTCAGACATGTAGCCATAGGCAGCTGAGCTTTGCTCTTTGTTCAGGATTCAGTGTCTAGAACCCCTTCTTCTCATTTCACCTTGCGTCCAGGCTCACTTAGTTCTTGTTCCAGGCCTTCAAGCATAGACACTACCTCCTCCTCATTGTCAGGGCCCTGCTCACCCACCCAGATCTGCAGCTCCTCCGGCAGGATGGTCAGGAACTGCTCCAGCACCAGCAGCTCCAGGATCTGCTCTTTCCTATGAGTCTCAGGCTGCAGCCACTGTCTGCAGAGCTCCTACAACCAGCTCCAAGGTCTAGGAGCATCTTGGTAACAAAAATGCCTAAAGAGTTGGCATGAGGCCTCTTGGCCAGAAAAGCTGTTCACTGGAAGATAGCTTTCCTGGTTCCAGAGAGGACCTTCCTCTACCTTCACAATCTTAAGTACATCTTGTTCTGCTATTGAAACCACTCTCAGATTCATTTAGAGGGATCATAGCACTATGAGTTGGAAAAAAGTTACGATTGAAGACTCTTTGAGTCAATCTTCTTAAGGAGCATTAACCAGACAACAGAATATTATATGTCAATGGTAAATAAAAGTAGTGAGAAATATACAAAGAATAGAAACAATGAATAGAATTTTAATTAATAAAAAGTAGCCAGTCATGGTGGCACAACCATTTAATTTCAGCATTTGGGAGGCAGAGGCAGGCAGATCTTTGAGATTTGGATGACAGCCTCATCTACATAGTGAGGCCCAGGCCAGTCAGGGATATACAGTGAGATCCTATCTAAAAGTAAAAACAATTTTAAAGTATATATAGCTATTACTTATAGATGTTTGGAAAAAGCATATGATAAAATACATATTAATGTCTCAAGTCTCCATTCTTCCCTATAGCCTTGTATTTGTATCCTCCAATGCTACAACCCTGAATCGTGATGCTGAGCTCAACCATGTGGCTATCAGCTCATGTGCTATTGGCAAGCCCAAGACCTGAAAGGCACTTGTAGGGCTTGGTTTGCTTCCTACCTCCAAAAGTCATAAGGTTATGCCCAGCAAGTCTTCAGATGAAATAAGACACAAGATGAGTTAAGATACCCCACTGAAAATAGCAGCACCCTAGACTAGCTAAAAATTGAGAAGCTGGCAAACATGTGGGTGGGCCTAATTTAAGACCTGTAGAATTATTTGGCCACTCTACAACTGACAGCAAACATACAAATATGTCCTACCCATTCTTGGCGAGCTGTGCCCCAAGACCCAGTGCTAGTAATCACACGGCACTATCATAGCAACAAGTAATGGAAATATAGAAATGAGGATGCAATGCACCTGTGGAATAAAAGAGGAAAATGAGTGTACTTTTTACTGCATAGTTTGCTTGTCTACTCTTTCTTGGTTACTGTTAAATTTGGAATAAAATGTGTATTCCAAGTAGGGGGGCTCAGAGTGTAGTGACTGAAATATCTGATAATATATGGTAGCTTTAGGAAGAAGTAATGAAAGCTATAAAGGACAAAAAAGGAGCTAAAAATTCTCATTGGATATGAAACATTGAAAAATATGGATTAGAAGCAAGTGCATTAGAATTAGATTAAAATAATCGAGATTACATGGTAAGAAAAGGAAAATGAAGTAGAAACAATATCATGGACCAGACAAATGGCATGAACAAATGCATTTAAGAGTATACATCATGTCTCTAAGGATAGGCAAATGGTCCTGGTGACTTAGCTATAAAAAGGAAGCATGAGTGAAAAAAAAAACTGTGTGATATAGGAAGTTAAGAACATTCTTTAGAGGGCCAGAAGATGCTATCAATAGAAGTGTCTGCCACTATGCCTGTGCGTGCATGCAAACACATACATACAAAAGTCATCATTCTGAAATAAAGAGCTAAAAATTTTAGACTCTTCCATGGAAAACTGAGAGGGGAGGCTGGGTATCATTTAAGTCGTATCCTTAAGTACAAAAGGAGGGAACTACACATTTGGGCTGAGGATGGGAAGAGCACTGGAGACTATTCAAAGACCTTATCACAGGGCAAAGGAATGAGAGGAGACTGGAATATCTACAGCCAAGACAGAAGAGAAAAGTACCAAAGCATTAGGCTGGCAAGAGAGATTAAGAACACAAGAACTTAAATTGTATAAATGAACAGGGAAACTCTAAAGCAGTGGTTCTCAACCTTCCTAATGCTGCAGCTCTTTAACACAGTTCCTCATGTTTGGTGACCCCAACCATAAAATTATTTTCATTGAATTTCATGACTGTAATTTTGCTACTGTTATAAACTGTAACATAAATATTCTTGGAGATAGAGGTTTGCCAAAGGTGTCTTGACCCACAAGTTAAGAACCATTGATGTAAAGGCTTCCAAGAAGGAAGGTGACAAGACTGGATTTGTGTCTTGATAAGTTCTGTGCTGAGTGGGAAAATGGTAACAAAAGCAGGAACAGAAGCCAGAAAGATGGCTGGAAGAATGTAAGAATGGAAGCTATTGCACTAAATCTATAAAGACTTGCATTTAGGTAAGACATGGCCATGTTCTGTAAAAGATATAATTTTGAAAAACAGATACAACTGAAAGGAGAAACGGTGTAAACTTCGAAAATGGAGTTCCCTTATTCAACAGATGACAATGGATCTGGAACTAGTTTATAGCTCCTGGATACAATTATAATACATTGAAAGAAAGGGTGTGATTTGGAAGGTGTATTCAGAGTATATTCCTGTAAGAACTACAAGTGTTCTTCCTAAATTTAATGTTCAGTGTCTATGGATTACCTGCAATCCACTGTAGATGGAAGCTTCTGTCCTGCCCAGTCCTGCAGCTGTTCAGTCCTAAAGAAATACAAGAGGCTTATATTAATTATAAACTGTTTAGCCTATTAGCTCAGGCTTATTATTAATTAGCTCTTACAACTTAAATTAAGACACAATTCTTGTCTATGTTTAGCCACAAGGCTTGGTACCTTTTCTCAGTAAGACATTTTCATCTTGTTTCCTCTGCATCTTGCTGGTGACTCACTTTCTGCCTTTCCACTTCCCAGAATTCTCCTAGTCTGGTCTCCCTGCCTATACTTTCTGCCTGACTACTGGCCCATTGGCATTTTATTAAACTAATATGAGTGACAAATTTTTACAGTGTACAAGAGCATTATCTCACAGCAATCCACAAAAACAAAGTCCTTTTGTAGGTTTTACTAAGTGCCTAATGTGTGTTGGGCAGTAAAGCAATTACAGTTTTATGTGTTCACATTTTCCTCCTTCCATGACTAAAAATTGAGAGAAAGTATAAGAATATTTTTTTTCATTAGCTCTGGTATAGTCAGCAATAACAGAAAAATTCCCAAAGGATACAGGGTCACAATTACAGGAAAATAGAGGGATACCTTAGGTACCATGAAGACTCAAGCAAATTTGTAAGCATATGATTTACAGGAGAGCCAGTGAAATCTCAAGATGGTGGAATGGGAAGAAAGGAGGGGAGAGGTGGGATTATAACTAAAAGAAAATTTGAAACTACATATACCAAGTGGCCTACAATTACATTCTAGGTGGTAGAAATCAACAGCAAAATAAATCTGTGGGACAATTGCGGGGGTAGAGGGAATCTGAGTGTAAACTAGTATCAGAGAACGCTCCTGCTCGTAACTGTGTCCTCTAATAACACGGTGATGTAGGAAAATGTCCTTAAAAATGTACTAAAGCCTGGAGAGATGGCTCAGTGGCTCTTGCAGAGGATCCTGTCAGTGTGTCCGGGCAGCACACACTGCACATGCATACGTTCAGGTGAACCACTCAAACACATAAACAAAAATTAATAAATCTTAAAAAAATATATACTGGGGGATGACATGTCGTGATACTTGTAGTTTATTTTACAACAAAGAAAAGTATATGAAAAAATGCTAGCTCGTGTTAACATTTATGACGTAAGAGTGATGGTATGACTAGAGGTCTAGCTGACTGGCAGACCGGTCTCACCGCTAGACTGGCGCTTAGCTTCATGGCCCTGGCTTCAATAACCAACATAATAAAATACAAATAAGGGCTGGAGCTCGGCGGTAGAGTGCTTGCCTAAAGTAAGAGGATGTCCTGGGTTCCATTCCCAGCACAATCAATTAATCATCAACGCCTCTACCCGTCTCAGGTACCTCGAGACTAGGTTTGAGCCTGGAAGATTCAGACTCCGGATTTCACCCAGTCTCTGAACGCCAAATCGGGGCCACATCGCGCAGGCGCAATTGTTCCCTCGCCCCTTTCCAAATAAGGGCCTTAAATCTCCTGGAAGCCTGAGATTCGGCCAAGCCGTCCGGACTCAACTTCCCAGCTCCGGAGCAGCTGACCGCCACAAAGACGGGAAGTGCGTCATTGGCCCTGAGCCCAGGCGCCAAATTAAGCCTTCCTTCCCTCTTTCAAAAAGCAGCTTTTCTCTGGGAATTACAAGATTATTACGCCGCGGTGACCTGTAGCTGTCAGGCTTGGGCCACAAACCGCAGCCCCGCGGCTGGAGGCTGAGTTTATAGGGGGCGCTGTTGCGGGAACGAAAACCAAAAAGGAGACAGGAAGGGACTGCTAGTTTCCCACTGGTATCTCTTACCCTTTAGTTCCGGTGACGAATCTGTCCCGAATCTTGACTCTAATTGACAGTGTGAAGAGAGAAGAGAGGCGGCAAGCGAAAACATAAACTTGTTCCCCTTTAGTTTTTGTTTTTGTTTTTTCCTAACTCCCCCTGCATTTCTCTTCTGGAATCTCAAACCCCAAAAGACGAATGTGTAGGCAAATAACTGGAGGACTGACTTGGCGTATGAAATGAGTTAAATATTTGTAAGTCGATTAGAGGAGTAAATTCTGTAATTGCCTATCGGGTAAAGTAGACACTGCCTTGCTGAAAAATAGCCCTCACCTGGACCCACAAGGTCACTAAACCCACTGCAAAAGCCTCTCATCTCTGCCTTTTTTTTTTTTTTTTTTGGTAGTCTTTACATCAGGTCCTGCTCAACTCTGCATATAGGTATGTTAATCATTTAAGTAGGTTCTGTCTAAAACCTGATGATACTCCTCCCCCATCAAGGCTGAAGCCACACAGGTAAGAATAGTAGAAGGTACTTATGGCCAGCTTTTGTCATTTCTCATCCCGGATCCTGCAATGGTACCGGAAAAGTCCTCAATCCTGGGTCTAAGCCTCCAGTCACGTGAACAACAGGGAAAACAGGGCCTTCAAACAGATAATCCCAGGAAGATGCAGGAGAGGATATTTCCTGGCTGACAGAAACAGTAAGCCGAACAGCCTGTTTTATAGCCGGAATAATGCACTGGTGTTTTTATGTGGAACTGTTTGCATCAGTCACAGTAGGGTCCTTTTGTTGGATCACCAGGGGCAGCATTTGCCCTCTACCTGGGTGCTCCAGAGTTCACCAAAGCAAGGGATGCTTAAAAATGTCTGGCATTAACTAAACAATTACAGCTGGAATAATGCCTTCCGAACTGGAATTATGTTTTAGCAGCAAGCAACTAAAGTCAACATGTAGTCCTTAAGGTGCCCTTGGAGTACTTAAAGCAGATGGATTTGACATTAGATCAGCCCAGCTGGCTGTGGCTAATAGTCCTTGCTCAGGGCAACTAGGACCAAAGCGAACGAAAAAAAAAAAAACAGCTATTAATTAGTGAGTCAAATAGCCCCAACTTTGAATATCTTTGCTTACTTAAAAATATTAAAATAAGTGGTAATAATAAAGCTCTATTATTAAATTTTAACAGTGCTTTTGGTGGTGCTTTAACAATACTTTCAAACCAGCAAATACTATTTGGGAAAGTTGAGATACCTGATGTATCCAAACTGATGTATCCAAAGAATTGAGCAGCTCTGCCTGACTAGGAAGTAGAATTTGTGGCAAAGAGCACCAACTGTATCCTAAACAGAGGAACCTGGGCAATATGGTTACTTTTTAAAAGCTAGTACTTTTTCAGTACTGGGTACTGAAGCCAACAATTCACAAATGGTTTCTAAAGAAATTAAAATGTGTCTTTA